TTAGGAAACAAGACTTCAAGACCACGGCCACACAGCCCGGAAGACCCACACCAGCCAAAAACTCCTCTCTTAGATGGCAGCGTGTGCATAGTATATTCATTTTCCTCAAAATGCGGCAAATCAATGTTACTATTTCTCCACCTTTTGTTCCATTGAGTGGACCCCTTCTCAAAATTTCTGTCAAGACTGATGCCAAAATATACTCCAGAAGATCAACAAGTTGAGTGGCTGCATGAATTTCAGACCTTTCTCTCTTTCCAAAAAAGCTTCAGTGGGCTGAAAACTATTCAGTTTTGTTATGAGTTTGTTTGAAATATGATTGGTGCATTTCATTGCTACCCCATTCAAAGTTGCAGCAGGGTGACCCACTCACAGGGAAAGTATCTCCAGGACAGTTACTCATGTGGAAGCACAGATCCTGAACTTCTGTAGAAGCAGATCAATAATTACTTGCTTACCTTTTGAAAAAAAACTTTTCAGGTGAAAGAATGTAGCACGCTTTCAGATTTAAATTAGTGTGAGAGGAAGGGGAAGTGCAGGTGCTGTGAAATGGGGAAACTGTGGGGCCACAGCAATAGAAACCAGCTCCATATATTTTATTTTGGATCCCTTTGCTGTTACTGCCTTTACATTACTCAACCCTTGTCCAGAGGAACTGGAGAATTGAAGAATGAAAGTGGAGGTTTTCAAAGCTTCCACATTTTTGCTTAAATATTAAATACATATTTTCAGTGGCTTTTAGAATTGAAAGCAGAAGCAAATACAAGTGGGTAAGTCCTCTCACTATAATGTAGTGTGTACATATGAATAGTGTAAATCAATGTAGAATCCTTATGCATCATTTAAAAAATAAGTTTACACTTAAGCACTGTATCTTTTAAAATGCAAATTGAATCACTTGGGAGGTAGAGTGGGAATTAATGAGATCAGAGCAAGTCTCTCTGTGCTGCCATCCAGAAAGATATTCTTCATTTGAAGCTTGTGATTACATTGGGAGCAAATCACCCATCTTTGCTTAGCTTGGCTTTTAGTACACTCCTTGGGAATCCCTGGAGATGTCGTAAAAGCCTCTGGAAATGGGATACACTAAATAAATAAGTAGAGATAGAAGGGAAAGTCAGGTCTTTGGTCTTCATACTATCATCTGTAAACTGACCCACGGATATCTGACAAGGGACTTCTTAAATTACTCAGGATAAAGTTTGCTGGACAGTAGAACAGGTGGTTTGTACTAAAGCCTTTGGCAGGGAGGAATCCCAGTCACTGAACAGAAAGGTGCAAAGTGATCCTATCCCCAACATGGCTGAACAATCTACAGTTGGCCCATAAAGTGGCTCATGAGAATCAGGCTTAAAAAACAGTGAAGGTTGTTGAAAGAAACCCAGAATATCAGCTAATACAGCAAATAGTAAACACGCATAAGGTACAAATAATGACCATTCCTAGACAGAGAGCAACTGCAGTAACTCAAAATCTCCTTATGTTACTGAGCTTACCGGTATGTTTACTAAATATTGTAATCTTCCTGTACTGGTCAGGCTGCCAAATATCCTGTTTGTTCTAGAAGGAAATTTTTGTAAATGAGTAATTTTGAAACATTTATCACTATTGAGAGCTTTTGTCAACCTTACCAAGTAGGCCAGATAGAAAACACAACCAGATGAGCTAATTCTACTTTACTGTAAAGCTACATTGACAGAATCTTGCAAATCTGAAAATACAATTCTCCTGCCATCTCCTTTACAGCCCAAGAAACTAGGGAGGGCCTCTCCTGAGCCTCTTGCCTTGCCCACTATCCAGCTGCAGGCTATGCTGTCTCTTATCTGACCTTTCCCTAGTGTAATAGTATGTGGGAATGACCTTGGGAGACTGGGCGAAGAGATGTTGCCTAGGGAATGGTCAGATAAGAGGGACCATAGTCCAAAACTGCATAGTGGACGGAGCAAGAGGCTCAGGAGAGACCCTCGCTAAGTTACCAGGCTATAAAGGTGACAGCGGGAGAATTGTACTTTCCGACTTGCAAGATCGATGTCCACCTTACCATGTAGACTAGACAGGAAACACGGCCAGGTAAGCTCATTCTATTTTATTGTAAAGCTACATTAACAGAATCTTGCAAGTCTGAAAGTATACATAAGCTTTGACTGAGGAGGGATTTTATGTACAGTGGTTATGACACAAACTCTGTCCTTATGTGCTTGCATCCTGACATTCTGCACAAGTGTGTAGGTTGTGTTACATACATCACGATACCATTTCCATCTTTTACTCTTCCTCCACAGACTCTCATCATGTGATTATAACTATGTAACTGCATTTTCTCACATTTGTCCCTTGCTTTTTTTTAATATTTCCCTCAATTAGCTTGTAGTCTCCTGCTTCTGCTTAGATTATTTAGTAGAGTTTTATGTACAGTGACATTAGTTACAATCATAAAGCTTCCACACCTCTTTGAGTGATACATTAAACCTTGAATTAGCCCAACTTATTTTGTTGTTGGGCACAATCCAGATAACTTAAATTTGGCATTAATTTCTCACCATAATGCCAAAAGTGACCTTGGATTTTGCTTGCATACCAGTTCTCATATTATTAATGTGGGATACAAAGCACAAATGAGCAGTATTTAAGTTGTAGGATGGTGAAACTAGTAAAAGACTTATATTAAAATCCAAACCTTTCTCACCCATTTAGATTATGGTCTACCTACTGTATTTTATTATTTACTGAAAAAAGGAAGATGGGTTAGACAGGGCTACAATATGCACTAGACAAACATCCACCTTGTTGTCTCTTCTAGTAAGACAAATCAAGTGGTAGTACCATTACAAACATCTCATTTCAGAGTTGTGCTAAAATTGTCGTGGCTTCCATTCCAAGGGAATCTGGGAACTAGAGCTAGGTGAAATGGGAAAAGGGTATTCTCCTGTTATTTGCCCAAGAAAGCCATTTTTCAGGAGAGAGGAGCTAGGACTGGCAGTCTGAAGGAGTAAAATAAGCAAGAGAAGATAGGAGACACAATAGCTGGTGAGGAGTGAAGCCAGCCAGCTGGTAAGCAATGAAACAGAAACACAAGTAGTAGTACTTTAATTGCTAAGGCTTAGTAACCAGGATGGGGTCAGAGGCTTTCTAGCAGTGTGTACAAGATGAGACTCCAGGGCCAAGTGTTCCCAAAGCTTCTCTCAGAAAAGCTGCATGCCAAACTGTAATTTCAAATGTGAGAGAAGGAAAAAATAATTAAATATTACACTATACACTTAACTGTCCTTTTTTTTCCTGGTCTCACCTATCTTGAGTTCACTTATTTTTTGGAGTGCCACTCACAGCATACAACAAAGGCTAAACAATTATTGCTCTCTCATACGGCTTGCTAAAATCCAGTGGGCCTGTCTTCTGATCCTCTACAAGTTTATTAAAACAAAGTGTTTTAAGCAGTGAGTGGTTCCCTTTTTGGTGACTGCCATGGGGCACGGAGAATAAAATACTCTGGGTCGGGCTGCTGGAGGCTCCTAGTGTGTATATATACAGTTTAAACTCTTTATTGTCTGCAGGGTCAAACAGAATTCCTTCCCTTTCTCTCTTTACAGGTTTGTGGTGAGAAGAACCGTTTTGAGAAGCTGATGGAGTATTTCCGAAATGAAGACAGCAACATAGATTTTATGGTAACGCAAAGAGGGGAGCAGAAGAGTTGGTTGTAGCTGATTTCTTGGTCACCCACAAGACTTCCTCTAATACTCTCCTCCAACAGGCACACGCTGCCATGAGGCTAGCTGCTGTTCGTGCCACCCTCTGGAACATTTCCTATGCCTTCCACTATTGCCCTAATTAAAAAAGAATAGCTCCATGATTTAAGTTCACGCAGTAATTCAAGGCAGAGCTTCAGGATCAGGAAAGAGATCCTGAAAACAAGGTATCAGCCCTTCTGGAGGCACAGCCGTGCTTACCATCATCAGTTTGGAGAAATCTTGTACAAACTGTTGGTAGGACAAACAGTATCTCTAGCTGTTTCAGGCTAGGGTAGAATTTTAAGCATTTCTTCTGAACCATTTCCAAAGCATACTCAGCCTTAGTAAGAGCTCAATAAAGCATCCTAACATTATACTTAATAAGGGGCTGAAAAACTAAATTAACTATATAATTACATTCCCTATAATTTAAAAAAGGTACTGAAACTCTCAATCTCAATAAACGTTTTTTTCTAATTTCCAAAAAGCCCAAAGTTAATTTTTTTGGGTGCCTTCGAGTCAGTGTTGACTCCTGTCAACTGCTTGGACAAGTCCCTGCAGTTTTCTTGGCAAGGTTTTTCAGAAGTGGTTTGCCATTGCCTGCTTCCTAGGATGAGAGGGAATGACTGGCCCAAGGCCACCCAGCTGGCTTCGTGCCTAAAGCGGGACTAGAATTCAGTCTCCCGGTTTCTAGCCTGATGCCTTAAGTACTACACCAAACTGGCTCTAAAAATAGGGTTAAGTCGAGCTTCTGCAAGATAGAATCTGTTTGTTTGGGCTCAGTTATGTATGTGTGTGTGCCTTTGAGTCAGTGTTGACTCCTGGTGACTGCTTGGACTAGTCCTTGCAATTTTTTCAGCAAGATTCCAGAAGTGGTTTGCCATTGCTTCCTTCCTAGGGCTGAGAGAGAGTGACTGGCCCAAGATCATCCAGTTGACTTTGTGCCTAAGGTGGCCCTAGAACTCACAGTCTCCCAGATTCTAGCCTGGTGCATTAACCACTACACCAAACTGACTCTTCCAGAGTTAATGCCTAAATATTTAAAACATGATATAAATCATGTGTTTGTGTAGAGACAGAGATATAACAGGCAAAAAGTTTGAAAACTAGGTAACAAAAGTCATCCGTATACCAGGAGAATCTTAACCACCAAAATCCCAGCCCTTCAAAATTGTAAATCCTTTAGGAAATACACTTTTTCTTTTTCTTCCCCGTTCCCAAATGTCTAGGTGGCTTGTATGCAGTTCATCAATATTGTGGTTCATTCTGTGGAGAACATGAACTTCCGTGCCTTCTTGCAATATGAGTTCACACAGTTGGGACTTGATGAGTATCTAGAGGTGTGTGGTTGTTTTTAATTGCTCTTAATTTCCTCTTAATTGCTCTTCATTTCAAAAGTGCTTAGCAATTCTGGAATGCATGCCATTGTTGGAAACAAGCAATAGACATTAGTTAACACAGTAAACATATAGTATTCAGAATCAGAGATAGAGATGGATTATTTGTGCTTCTCTACCTAATTTGCTGATGCAGTTTTATTACTTTTAGAAATTGTCTTCTATATACTGATAGAAATGAGACTTAAGCTCCTCAAAGCTGTATTTGCATCTTTCTATTTTACTTTACTTATAAAGAGCACATTTAAATTTACCAAGTAAACTTTCATTTTAAAACTGAAGCATAAATGTCTGCACTATACAGATAGTCCTCACCTAATGACCACAATTGGGACCGGAATCTTGGTTGCTGAGCGAAGCAGTCATCAGATGAGACACCCATGTGACTGCTTTGCTTCAGCAGACAGCTCTTTCGCTCCATTCTCTTTCCCCTCCCCTCTCTCAGCAGTGAATGGAGCACCTAAAGATTGGAGGTCCATGCCTGCCCACTGCTGAAAGGGGAGGGGAAACCTCCCAGCAGTGGGCAGTTATAAAGCTCATATCTTCAGGATTTGAGCTCGTTTTTGCACACCACCGCGTCCCCTCTACTTACAGCCTTCCCTGCTGGCTTCCAGTGGGGAAGCTGGCAGAGAAGATTGCAAATGGCAATCGCATGATCATGAAACTCTTGGCAACCAATCATAAATACAAGGCAGTTGCCAAGTGCCCAAACTATGGCCACGTGACCGAGGGGGGCAGCACAACATCTTACGATGGCTGAACAACCGTTGTAATTTTGAACCATCATTAAACGAACAGCGAGGACTACCTGTAGTCTATGAAGTGTAAATCATGAAGAAATTAAAAAATTGCAGTAGACTTGGATGTGATAAGAATTTTTTTTTAAAAAAGTGCTGCTCTGACTCTTTTAGCATGTTTATTTGGTTTCTGTATTATAAAAAAATTAAAATATGCCTACAAACATTTTCCTTAAAAAAAAACAGAAGAAAAAGGGACATATGCAGATGGACCATGTACTGGCATTTATCATTCCAAAAGTATATACTGTAAAGAATGATCATCCTGGCCCTATTTTTAAATCAAGACTTCCCTTCTTTGATTGATCAGAAGCTGCGTTGTACAGAGAGTGACAAGCTGCAAGTGCAGATCCAAGCCTACCTGGATAACATCTTTGATGTAGGTGCCCTGCTGGAGGATACTGAGACCAAAAATGCCATTCTGGAGCACATGGAGGACTTGCAAGAAGAGGTTGGACAGGTATGGGGGCTGACTAAACAAATCTTATGGACACTACATCTGAAGATGATTGAGAAGCAGCAGTTCAGGAAAGTGGGTTGGTTGGTGACAATGGTGAGAATCTATTCCATTCCTGCACGTGCAGTACATATGCACAAAGTCCATCCTTGCTTGAGTACATAGGGTATTTGTTTTTGACTCTGCTTTACAGTTTTGCCCTCCCGAAACATATTCCCAATACAGTGATTCTCTTCACAGCTCACTGAGAAACTCCAGGATGCAGAAAATGAATCTGTGGCCAAGATTGCTGAGCTAGAGAAACAGCTGTATCAGTCACGCAATGAGCTGGAGGCCCTGAGAGCAAGAACAAGTGATGAGCCGGTATGGAAGCAGAGGGAAAAGAGTTACAAGAACTGTTGATCATGCTGATTTCAAAATAAGATTGGGAAAAGAAGTGCAAAACATTTCAAGTTAAAACATTCTGGTTCCAAAACATCCCCTTCCAACCTTGGAAATTTTGACCTTACAAGAAGAATTCAGGCTCATCCCAACCTTACTAGGACAGATCTAACCTCAAAATGGATCATTCCAACTGTGGAACTGGAACCAGAACGTTCATTTTGAGGTTGAATCACTCCTGGTAAGGTCAGAACGTTTGAAATAAGTTGCATACCTAATTAGGAGATCTGCTGGATCAGGCCAAGTGTCCATCTAGCATAGTCGTCCCTCCAGAAAGCTCACAAGCTGCATACAGTGGGCAGATACGTAGAATTAATCAGAGCAAATGGATGAGAAGGCCTTGTAATAGTGGAAGAACACTAATGTAATATAGGGAGCTCAACACAATTGCCATGTTCATATGACAGGGCTGACCTGATCATCTAATCTTCTCCTCATCTTTTCTTCTTTGCAACACACAGTCTGGAGGTGGCTAGGTTAGTGGTCGGTCAACCACACTTTTTAGTCCGCCTAGCTGCCACAAAAAATGGTTGGAAAGTTGTCTCTTCCTTTCTCACTTCCTGGCTTTCAAATTTATTTGTTTGCTTGTTTGTTTATTTCCTGAAGGTTAAAAAAATTGTGGTGGTACAGTCAGGATCAGGTTCACAAAAGCCAGAGTCATGGGGCTGGCTTACTCATTCTCCACTGCTTTTTACTCTTTTTCATTCCCCAGGAAACGGGGAAAAGCAGTGGAGGAAAAGTGAGTAGAAAGGCCTCATTTTTGCAGAAGACGAATACATTAATCCCCAGTCAGCCATTTGAACAATACAGTTACTAGAGCAGGGTTTCTCAACCTTGGCAACTTTAAGATGTGTGGACTTCAACTCCCAGAACTCCCCAGCCAGCATTCTAGGTGTTGAAGTCCACACATCTTAAAGTTGCCAAGGTTGAGAAATACTGTACTAGAGAAAGTTATTTAGTTCCAAATAGCACTAGGTCTCTTTGGAGCAATAAGTAAATCTCTCAAGATTACTTGACTGGATTGGTTGGCTGGATTATATTGTTTGCCCAACACTTCAATCTTCCCCTCTGCCATGATCAATTAAGTGTATCACGCAAATAGAGATGTCTGAAATTCTGAATCTGTCACATTGACACTGGCTACATTCAACTATGAAGGGTATCTGTCCTTGTATGTTTTTCTTCCCAAAACTGAGATGAGCTAGTGAGCTGTATAAACTGTATTTCTTTTAATTCTAATAATCCCAGGATATTTTTTTTTAAATATATATATAGGAAAATAGGTTTCAAATCCAGTCCACGCCATAGCAGCATATACAAGATCTCAGAAAGTAGAATCTGCTCAAATTCACTAGGTCTTGCATTCATAACCTATAATTCTCTAAACTTTTTGCCTCAGAACAAACTGGATCAAATCAGCAAAGCTAACAAGCCAGGAAGTCCCTTTTGGCCCACAGTGCAGCTGCCACAAGAGACAGAAGTAACCCCAAAATACTCTGCCTTGGAGCACAACCTGGAAGAGCTAGAAGATAGGGGTTTAATCCGGATTCAGTGGGGGCCTGGCGGTGACACCATCATTGGCATTGAGGTCATCCCTGTTGTTACAGAAACTGCAACAGCCTCCTCAGTTACTATTGAAGCATCTTCATCAACTAGCACAGGTACAGCCCCATGGAACAAGCAAGGTGAACCCTTACTTGGAGCATTTTGCTCCAAGTAAAATGAAGAATTATATTTTTGAATGTTTTTTCTTCTCTCGGGTATTCTTCAACATTGCAATTCTGTGACACCTGCAGTATAGTAAATGTTTGTGTGGCCTCTCGTTGAATAAAACAAAATATTTCATTGGGTTTATGGTTGGGCAAGAAATATACTGCTTAATTTTACAAATTAAATGTTAATCTACGTGTGAAGTAAATCAATTATAGAGCCTTACAACTTTATATACAAAGAGGATAAAAATACTGGACTTCATTTACACATATACTTTACAGTTACTCCAAAGAATTTGGACTTGCTGTTCTGCTGGTAGAAATGCCAGAGGGAAACAAGTATTTCTGAGAGAAGCCAAACACAGCTATCAGTAGTCTTTAACAATCGATTGCCAATATCCAATAATAGTTGTCACAGGACCTTTTTTGAGCCACCCACAGTCACCAGGCTAGTGGGCAGCCATACCAGATAAATAAATAGACAGGTGTCAGTTGTACTGTGCAGCAAATAGATTTTTCACTACTTAAGTTGTATTAAGGTACCATCCATTAAATACATTAAAAATGGTAATCCTCAAGTTGCTAATGATTCTCTGACAGTTCATCATTCACAGTTTGAGAAATCCTGCCTTATACGAATATGTCTCCATATGCAGCTAGCAGAACAAGGACAAGAATGGTTTAGAATTTTCCCTCTCTCATTTATGTACATAAGAGGGGCTTGCTTGGTTGACTGGTTTTGCATTGTTTTGCCTTAATGGAGGACTATTCAGATAGGCAACCCTCCATTTGCAATTTGAATTGCTCCAGCCCATCAACATTTGTACCACATGGACTCCCAGATGGTTTGTCTCCTGAAGTTTTGCATGATATGCACTAGCTGAGAAATCACTACCCATCATATAGGAATAAGTATTTTAAAGTGGTTGGCTCATAATTTATTCCTCTTCTTTCCCAGGAGATTTAGGTAGGATTATCTTCCAACAGCAGGACAGGAAGCATTCCTCATATTTGTTCTGTTTCTTTCAGATTATCCCTCCCCATCTACATCCCCCGTTCCCTCTTTTGCTCCAGAAATACCACCACCGCCACCTCTACCTTTCATGAAAGACAGTGACTCTGTGGTTTTCCCATCTTCTCAAGAGAAAGAGCTGTCACCTCCTCCTCCTCCTCCTCCTCCTCCACCACCACCACCACCACCCCTACAGGGGGCCAATGAGCCTCCACTTGCCCCACCACTGTCTGGGGTTGGAACTATACCCCAAGCCCCACCACCGCCACCACCGCCACCACCCCTCTTAGCATTGGATAGCCCAGTTGCTCCTCCTCCACCACCACCTCTTCCCATGACTGATGGAATAACTCCGCCAGCAAGTACAGTTACTGCAGGTAAGTTGAATATGTAGTGACTCTTTCTTAACAGGCATTCCATGTGCATAATAATATATGTTTATTTACTTTGTGTAATTTCTCAGGTCAGCACCTTCCAAAAGAATTGTGAATTTAATCATATACTGTATAAGATTTCATCAGTTAATAAATCAGCTGAATCTGCATGGAAATAAAACTTGAAATCTTATACAGTAGTCTGTATTGTTCAGTTTCTAATCCAGGAAAAGCATTCTTTGAATTTAAAGGTATTAATTTATATGGTACTTTGGGTATCTTATTGTATGTGGCAGAAAGATAAAATCTAAATATTTAAAATAAGTTAATATAAATAACATATTCAAGTATTTTAGAGTTGGGATAGTTCCTCTGAGATGATGCTTTCATTCTGCAGTTTTCTAAAAACTTACATTAAAAATCATAATCTGTCGGTAAGAAAGAAATGGATTTTTAAAATTAATCTAGAGCATCATTTAAGGGTTTATGTTGATTCATGTAATTAATTAACAGGGCAATTCTATACTGGACATGTCTACTTTGAACCCCCATGAGCTCAGTAAAACTCATTGAACCTAATAGATTTTCAGCCTAACAGATCATGTGGTACAGCCCTAACAGTGTTATATGATGTTTCTTGGATAGTTGAGAATGACAAACGCTTGGTGGTTGTTATCGGTAAATGTAAAGGGGATCCTGGAAACAATAATTTTGGGAAGGGAGAAAATATGGCAAATTACTTGCCAGACTTCTTATGTTTTCAAATGCTCCTCCCCAAAATATATAATATTATCAAGTTTCTCCAGAATAACAGAGGCAGCAAACTTTTGAAGGAAATAGAAGTTGAGATTTTTCATCTCCAAATTCTAGTTCCTAGCCTGAAGAATTCTCAGGGTTAGAAATTAGAAAGTGAATAGAATTTGTTGAGAGTTGGCTTATCTTTATTTAGTTACTGCATTTCTATCTTGCTTTTGCTTATAATTGCCTACATAAAAAATAATTATGCTGAAAGACAATGATTGGATTCATATATTGTGCTAAGCAGTGATTTGTTTAACCATGGTTTATTGAGTAGCCCACAATTGGCTGAGATCATACATTATTGCTAAGTCATAAACTTATACTTTATATATTATAATGACATATTTGTAAGCTAAGCCCAGACTTGTGGAACAGCATCTCTCCAGAGATCCAGATGGCTCTGACCCTATTGGCCTTTTGTAAGACTCTGAAGACCTGGCTTTCCCCCCAGGCGTTCAGGCCCAGAGGTTAGGTTAGCCCTATTGTTGATGTGTTCTTATGATTGAAAGATGTCGTTTACCTGGGATGCCATGGGTTATTGTTTTGATTGCTGGTTTTTAATCTTTGTATTCTGCCCAGAGTCGCTGTTGTGAGACACATGGCCATATAAATCTCCAGCCACTCATGAAATTGCATAAATTGTGTAAATTTGAATCCAGGTCTTCTCAATCCTATATTTTATCAATGACTGGTCAACGGTTCTACTGAATCTAGCTTTTCTACTGGTTTAGAAAGGTTTAGCCAGTTCCAGTTTATCACAGTTGTGAGTTTCTCGTCCATTCAGTGCCCAGTCTGCAAGAAGGGCCTTGCTGAAAAACAAAATTGGGAAGAGACAAATTTCTAACTGGTGCTGGTAGAGGTTTACAAAGCACTTAGAAACTTTCTTCTTTTTTGGAAGCTGTCAAGATCAAGAAGCCTATACAGACCAAGTTCCGCATGCCTGTCTTCAACTGGGTTGCTCTGAAGCCTAACCAGATCAATGGTACCATCTTCAATGAACTCAATGATGAAAAGGTCCTTCAGGTAAGTGCCCCTTTCCTTTCCCTTTTCTATTCCCTGCCCACCCAGTACATGTCGCTTTATTTATTTTGGCTTCTCCTTGGTGCAGGAGCTTGACATGAATGACTTTGAAGAACAGTTCAAAACCAAAGCTCAGGGTCCAAGCACGAACCTCAGTTCCATAAAGGCAAAGACTTCACAGAAAGCTCCCGCTAAGGTTTCACTGATTGAATGCAACCGGGCAAAGAACCTGGCCATCACCCTCCGTAAAGGGGGGCTCGCTGTTGACAGCATCTGCAAAGCCATTCAGATGTAAGTATGTCACTGTAGACTGCCCAGAGTCGCTCTTGAGTGAGATGGGCAGTGACTAAATTTGAAATATAAATAAATAACTAAGTAAAATGTCAAAATTCTCTCATCAGTTTCATCTGCCGGTCAGAGGGGAAGATTTTATTAAACACATATGCATATGTGCACGATACTGACATTAGCAGCGCCTATGATATGCAAAGCTCTTACTTTTATGATGGGAAGCTACTTACTGTAAAGACATTTGGTTCAGTCACCTCGACAAACGCTGTGGTCCTCTCCTCCTGAACCAGTTACTCCTGGCCTGCTTTATTCCCATTTAGATATGACCTACAGGCCCTCAGCCTGGATTTTCTGGAGTTGCTCATGCGCTTCATCCCCACGGAATACGAGATGACGCTAATCCGCAAATATGAGAAGGAGCAGCGTCCGCTGGATGATCTTTCAGATGAGGACCAATTCATGATCAAATTCAGCAGAATTCCCCGCCTGACAGAACGCATGACCACCATGACCTTCTTGAGCAGTTTTGGAGACACTGTACAACTCCTTCTGCCAGTAAGGAACAAAAACAGGCAACTGATTATAACTAAGAGGTGGTGTCAGTCTGCAATGTCTTGATTTAATACCAACTGGAAGAGTCTGCAAAATGGTTGTAAACGCTGATACAGTATCTTGATTGATGATTCTTCTAAAACAGTATTTTTCTTCTTCTATATTCTTAGTACAGAATTATGTATTCCAGATGGCAGAAAAAACAGTATCATTTGCTTAATGGCTTAGCAAGGGCAGAATGCAAATTACAACTTCACATAAGAAGTAGGTCCAGGGCTAAGTATAGCAAAGCATTTTCAAGTATTCTGTACTGTTGGGGGAGAGAGGAACAAATCTAGCACATATGACATCAAATAGCAGCAGGCAGCAAATCCTTTCAGTTTTTTACCTTTTACACCACAGTTTCAGAATAGGAACAGTCTCTCTGGGGAGAATTCTTAAATTTCAGCAGGAATACCTTTGAAAGTTTACTCATATTCAGAAGCCCAATTATAGGGAAAATGCATAGGAAAACTGGCTATGGAAACTGTTTTGAGCTTATATTTATTGGTGATATTTATTTAGCATCACAGAAATCCTCTTCTACCAAAGGATTGTGGAAGCCTTTCTAGGCCTTGCCAAGCCATTATGTGGAATTATCTGCCTATGGTATTACCAGGAATTGTCAATGAATTCCCAAAGCATGTTAAAAGTAGAGCAGGGAAAAGGCTGCAACCATTTCCCTTTGCAAAGATCCAGGTTTATACCTTGCATGATGAACTAGGATTATTAAGTATCTTATGCAGCACCTAGCAGTGCTGGCAACTAAAATCATGGTGCTAAGAAATTGATTGTTTTTTTCCTATCCTGATTATATTCAAAATATTCATTCCTAATTTCATGATTAAAAAAAAATCAAAAGTGTCAAGAAATGTTTGGGGAGTAAGGTCACAAAACAGGAAAATGAGGTTTACATGAAATATACATTTTGGGAGTCTGGTAACTGAGTCCACATTTACACTTAGCTCCAATAGGTATACCGATTAAGGTAGGTAGGAAATTAGGGATAGAAGATGTCAGGCAAGTAAGAAATCTGATTATGTCATTCTCACATTTTTTTCCCCATCTACAGCAACTAAATTTTGTGATTGTTGCTTCAATGTCAGTCAAGTCATCTACCAAGCTGCGTCAGATTTTAGAGGTGAGGTTCCTTAAAGATAAAGAGGTCTCCACAGTCATTTAAGTCAAAGGAAGGGCAGTTTTTCTTTGGTCTTGGGTCAGCAATAAATAAGTTGTTTCCCAGAATTTTGACAGCTGAGTCACACACTGTTGTCCACATATTCTTAAACCTCAGAATACTTTTGTTTATTTAATTCTAAGCCTATTTAATTTGTTAGGTTTCTATCTCACATTTCCTCTAGGAAATCAGTGGCACTGCATAGTATTCTAATTTTTTTCTGGCACAACAATCCCATGAGATAGGAAATAGGACTGTCTCGAAGTTATCCAGTATGCCACACTGGCATGAATATGTTTAACAGCATTGAGTAACAAGAATCTGCCCAGTGTATTTCTTTGTGAATTGTCGATGTGTGGCTGTGGGGAGGGAAGGGGAGGAGAGGGGAGGGAGG